TTCTGTCTCAGCAGGATTTCTGTAGATAGCATTAATCTTCCCCCCTCCTTCATTCAGTGCATTCCATGCAACCCTAAGCTTTCTATGGGTGGCAGACTGAGAGCTCAAGGTCTGACATATGGACTATCAGACCACATTTTCTAGTGCCTTTGTTGATATGACCAGACTTTGTTCTCCAGGTCACACATTTTGTTACTGGTGCATAAAACCAGCAGAAAATATCATTTCCTGCCACATGGATCTGGAGAGGTGTGTTTCTTACATGTTAGTCCTCATAGCAGGCAGGTATATCAAATTACAACACCTACTATTGGCAGATACTTCCATCCATCTTATAAGTGAACTATTTGGACTTCAAAGGAATTTCACTCTCTGTGAATCTTTTTGTAGGTTCATATTAAAATTTTATCCATTGAGATTTCGATTTGGTATACATTTTCAGACTACTTAATTGGCATTAAATAACCATTTTTGAATTTTAGACCAGCTGAGAAAGAATCAAGAAGAAAGGGTAAGTTTAATGGTAGTAGAAGGAACTAGCTTAGGAATAAGGTAAAGACCTTCTCAAAGGAGAGACTTGCTATAATTTTTGGAACAGTTCAAAGAGATAGCGTAGGAATCTCATTCTCTAGAAGGTTTTGAAAACAAGTAAGTACTAACACTGTTGGTATCATTACATTTATAAGCTCCCGAGAGCTTATACTATTAAAATTAATAGTATATTTAATTTAGGATTAAAAATATATTAAACATTGGCTTTCTAATTTTATAACTAATCTAATATAAAGGATTTTGTAATTAACTCCGTAAGTCCTCTGACACATTGGATGCTATTCTTCGAAACAGTAAAATTTCACTTGAAATTGTATGTACTATTACTCACGCATATTAAAGTCTTGAAAATTACTACTAGATATGAAAAAGATAAATTGTAGGTTTAAAGATGTGAAGTCAGAGGGAAAAACAAGCAATTTTACTCGGAGGAGAAAAAGATGAGCTTGATCATCCTGTTTCTTTAATGTGGTCAACTAGCAAAAGAAAATAAAGATGATTTATGAATTATAACCCTGTAATTTAAAAAATTATATGATGGCCTCTCTCTCCAGGAGCAGATATTTCTGCAGGATCTGGGCTCTGGGCTGAGGGGAGTCCATTTCTCCTCACCTTGAAGATGGGAAAGACTACTGTATTGCTGGGCTGTGTTTGAAGGTGATGTGACATGCTAACTGGTGTGTGCCCCTGCTGTGCTCAGGACCTGTCTCTGCTCTGCCCTGTTCCCATCCACATATGGAGGGTCCTGGACACAACCCTGGGATATTTGGGAAATGACTCCCTGCTTCTGTCAATTCTTGCCTTTCCTGGTGTAAGTAAAGGGGAGGAGCCAGACAGCTGGTTACCTCCTAAAGTTTAAAAAGCTGTCAAATGTTTCTTAATGTAAAAGGCCATGAGGATTATTGTTAGATATGAAAAGTATGCTAAAAGTACAAAGAGCAATAGCCTCAAAGTTTTATTAACATACCAAGTTTGTCATCATTTGAGCCTGTCATTTAAGGCCTGTGTTAAAGGGCTCCACATTTGAACCCTGCTGTGGGCCACACATTGTACACCCTTGTGATCCAGTTCTGCTCCCTTCTCCACACTGGGGTGGGGAGGGGGCTCCCCTTATATCTCTTGCAAGACCTTCCTGCGTGGTCACATACAACGCTCACCATTAGCTGCCTTGGTCTTCCTGTCCTTTTTCAGATGTAGGTGGAAGGGACAAACATCGTTAGGCTTTCTTATTCTCTTCCTTTCAGCTCTTTTTAGTGTTGCCTTCCCTAGTAGTAAGTGGTGTTGACAAAAGAGGCAACAAGCATCCTGGAAATGTGCTCTATCATCTAGTGTCCGCCGCAGTTCAGGGGGGCTGGGCCCAGGCAGCATGGATGCTGGCTTCCAGGAGGCGGGAACAGAAAGCAGGGGGAGCTAGTCAGAGGCACAGCTCTGTCTCATCGCCGTCACAGGGGAGGATGGGGTGATGGTAGGGAACTGGGCTCCGCAGCAGAACAAGGAGCAGCCTGACTCTGGACTAAAGGTCATCAGGATTCCAGAAGACATGACCGAGAGGGTTTCCTCTGTGACATGGCTCTGCGAGCCCCCGTGTCTTTGTGACACTTCTCAAGCTCAGCGCTGGGAGACTCATTCTCTCTATAGCACATGGTCCTGGCCTGCTTTTATCCTGTAACACATGCTACAGACTTCCTGCTTTTTACCCCCTTTGGTCAATGATGCTGAATGCTTTAATACCTATGTGGGAAGATTTCATTCTTTTCTAGTCCATGTCCTTTCTTTCTAAACATATGTTAGATTTTTTTTTTCTGTTTTGCGGGCTTTGGAATCAATTCAGCACCAATACAGCAAAGAGACTTTTTATTATATTTGTGACTTTGCCATGATTCACCATCCATATAAATGGCCTGGTTGCTATGGAAACATAAGTATTAGAAAGAGGGCAGCAAATCGTGGCACAGAATAAAGACATAAATAAAGTGGTGGAAATAAACCACTTTATTTGGTGGGCATAGTGCGACTGGCAATAAAACTTAGTATCGGTTATTTGGGAAATACCTTTACATCTAATGTGACCACACAAAGTTTAAGCCAAGCCAATTAAAAAAAAAAAAAGAGTAAAGACTAAATCCTGAATTTGTAGTCTGATTTGGAAAACTATTATTACTTGTTTCAGTGATTTTAAAATGGGACTAAAAGTTCATAGCTTTTTGAACCTAAGTATTTGGTTAAAACATAAAACATGGTTTTCTGTAAATATTCTGGTAGACAGACAATCAGTGGTGCTTGATGGCTAAAATCCATAACAAACACAAACAGCGAGAAATTACTTCTACCAGGTTTCTGTTTTTGTCTCTATTATGCTGGGCAATACTGTGCTGATTCAATGGAGAATCTGAATTGGTTATGAGTGTCAGGGACAGTGTGGCCTCCCCTCTGTGCCCTCCGACAATCTCCAAGATGTGTAAAAATCAACCTAGATGGCCACACGTACTATCAGTCATTTGTGTTCACTAGTGTCCTTAACACAGCAAGTCTCACCTAACACAAACAAATATTTAACCATTGAAGCAGAAGTACAATGCAAACATTAATGAATTTGTCTTAATTGCTCTTTCCTGCTGAGAGTTGTTAGGCTGCTTCTGTCAGTGATGAATTTGCACGTGGAGTCATTATGTGTAAAAAATTCCATCTATAAACATCAACCACAAACCCTAAAGTCATTATATGGGAGGCTGAAGACCCATGTATTATACCAAAGTGTAACATTATGGAAACTACCTAAATTTGAGAGCGAAGTCAACAGATTTTCACATAAGCCATACAGATTCAGAAATAATAGCACACACTTAAACAGCTCAAAATAGCTAACAAAAGAGTTTAATATATATTAGGATATTGTTCCTGTGTGTATATCTGTATATTTATGTGTGTTTGTGTGTGTATATATCTCAGAGTACTTTATTAGGTTTTATATATATATATATATATATTCTTAACATAGTCTAGAGTGTGATTCTTGTCCTGCATATCCCTTTAAGTGGTGAGAATATATTTATTTTCTCATATAATCTTTACAACTACCCAAAGAAGTAAGTGTTATAATTATCCCCGCTTTGTAGCTAACGATGCCAAAGTATCAGGAGTTTAAGAAACTTGCTCCAGGTCTGCAGCTGGAAAGCAATGGCACTAGGATGAGAACCCAGGCAGCTGCTTGGAGAGTCTGTGCTCAGACCGATCTCCTGTATCAAATTAAATTAGCTTCTTGAGTGTGGTAACATACAACTGAAGAGGGGGTAAAACTGTACTTCTGAATCATAGACAGTGTTGTAAACCAACATTACCTCAGTAGAAAACAATAGCAACTAGTTTCTTCCAAGAATAAATGATTTACTCTATAGTGAGATAAAAAAAAAAGAGCATCAATCTAGAAGTTCCTAGTTCTCATTTGACTAAATTCAACATTTTATTTTCTTAAGCTCAAATGTACTGTCATATTCATATACCATAGATAACAAATCTCCTTATTTTTAAGGGACATGTAAACCCAAATAAATAAAGCAGAGCAGCAGGCCTATTTTTGCAGTGGTTTTCTTGGTAAGGGAGCCTTTAGTTCCTATAATATGGAGAGACAATTTCCCAGTGTGGGTGGGGGTTGGTTTCCCACAAGATGGTGGCATTGGTAGACATGGTGATGGATCCACCTGTGAAGATGCATTTCTGGCAAAGTGAAAAGTATATAGGTCCATCCTCCCATTCTCACAGGAACATTCTTCACTACCAGCCTTCAAGTATCTGGGTTTGGTTTATTTAGGAATCACACTCATTACCACCACGTGGGACCTCCAAGTTGAGAAACACTTAAACCTCTATAGACTATGATTAGATCTGGTTGGAAACAGAGTCATTCTTTTCCTTCAAAACATGTAGTCATGATGACAGATTATGATCTCTACCAGAAACAAGAAATTTAGGAGTGAATGATTTGTATTTTCTCCCTTTTTCTATATACATAAAGCCAGCTATCTAAGAGTAAGAAGCTAATTACATCTCTTCATGTATACTGGTGCTTTGCTGTCCCCAAAGATCGTATTTTCAGAATATAGAATTCATATTTTCAGAATAAATAGCGATAAACAAGCATCCTTACAATCTTCCTAATCTTCCACTGTTAGAGCGGTTGGTTATTTCATCAGCTCAAAAGAGGAAGAAAAAAATTCAAATACGAAGTGTAGGCAAAGACAGTATGAACAAATTCAGTCTGAAACTATATGTGCTGCAATCATTATCATATAGACAATGGATATCATAGCAGGTTTTGGTAGAGCTGTGAGCTACTTAGGATGTACCTGGTCACTGTAAACTACTCTTTCTATAGGGTTTGGTTTGTCAAAACCTCTAACTGGCCCACATGTTTTCTCCAGGCAAAACAGACCAGCTAATGTTCCACTTACGTGAGCTTTTGAAGTCTTTCTTTTTCAGTCTCCTCCTCATCATGGTTCCACGTGGGCTAGTGGAGTAGAGACTTCGAGGTAAAGTCCCCATGTTCAGGGAACTCAGGCTGTATGCACTCATGGAGGTAGGAGAGAAGGATGAAGACACCAAAGCTGCTGTAAGAGAGTGAAGACTTGGCACAGAGCATTCTCAGGCGGGACGTGAGCCTGCCACCATTGCCAACCAGCAACAACACAAAAGACACATATCACGCAGAGCAAGGGATAGTGGACACCCAGCCATAGACACCGAGTCTCAGAAGCTGCCGAGACTGAGAATCTGAGTCACAAGAGCCTGGAACTGCCGAGGCTAGCACGATCCTCATAAGCACGGTGAACACAGAGAGGCTCTCTGAAGGTGGCTTTTGGCAACAAGCAAGCAAACATTAAACAAGTTTCTCCATCAATAACAATTCAATGTACCAGATACAGTCTCATTTTCATAGCTATTTTCTGACATGAATTTTAGCAGTGATTTCACATACAGAAAGACGATCTGAGAATACTGTACGATATTCTGAATTGTTATTTCCTGACCATATATAAAACATTGTGAACACTTACATCCTTTCCTAACAACAAATGTTCTCTGATGGAAAAGCAAGACTTAGGAGATGTCAAAATGATAAACTACTACCACAAAAAAAAAAAAAAAAAACACACACAATCCCAATGAAGCCAAATATGGTATGAGTTAGATGAGGAAGGAGTGAGAAATATTTTAAATAAGAGACCAGGAGGAGAAAGCCTGGAACATTACGAGGGCTGTTTGGAGGAGGCGCTTTCGGGACTGGCAGGGCTGGCACTCTGCAGTGATCTGGGTGGTACGTGTTAAAGTGATGGTAGGTGTGAAGGCTGCAGTGGTTGCTGGCCCAGGAATCCCAGGTAGGTTGCCTGTCGCTCCTCTGAATTTTCACTGCCCATATGAAGTGATGATGAGAAATAAGAAAAACAAACAGAGAACCAAAAAAAAAAAAAGAGGAAAAAGTAACTGAATTGCACAAATTAAAAGTGAAACAGAAATGAAAGCTGCTGGTAAAGAAAAAGAAATCTACTGGCTTTGCCCTTTTCTCAGTGGTCAGCAAAACAGATGATTAACATTAGGGATGGAAAGTTTTCATCTTCCCAAGAATAATGCATGTTCTTCCCCAGTCATTTTTTTTCTCCTTTTAAAATGACTAGTGAATCAATTTCTAATCTCCCCTGAGCTTCACAGCTGAGATTAAAAACATTTTTTTAACTTAAAAGTCAACCTTATAAAGATCTATGGCACACAATTAGTAATTAAAGATTTGCAAATCTTGGCCAGTTAGAAGCACTTGTTTTGAGAAAAAGGAAAGAAAGAACAATAAATCACGGTGGCTTACGATTCAAATGGTTACCTAGTCACACATCACAATTTACTGCTGTGACATTTTCATTACACCTTGATTTATCACTTGGACTTGACTTCCTCAATAATAAGCTGCTCTAATTATCTACCAATATCAAAATCCTATCTGTATCCTAATAAGAAAATGATAAAAATATCAGTATTTTATAATTTTGGGGGTATTTTTGAAAAAAATGCATTTACATTTGAAAGAAATATTTAATTCTCAAAACATTTTTACTTGTTTTTACATCTTCTCTAGAGGCTACAAAATTTTAATATTTTATTTCAAGTTTTTGGTGTGCCCTTTATTTAAAAATAGATACTGATCATGTTTCTATTCTATTTTCAATATTGTTCATCTTTTATTCATTTATATTTTAAAAATGATATTGAAACTATAGTTTGCATCAGAAAACATATCCATAGCAAATTGGTGTGGGAATGAAGCTCTCTCTTTTTTGATATTTGTACTATGTACATATCTTTCATAAATTAAAACACTGGAAAAATCAAAAGTTTCATGACGTGGAATTTCAATATTGTTTAGATTTGATTTTCTATCTAGTGCTCTGAAGTATGTTACTATGTTTGATATGTACTGAAGTATGTTACTATGTTTGGTAAAGAATTTGCATTTAACAATTTTCTTTTTTTTTTTTTAAAGATTTATTTATTTATACAAGCACTGGGTACAGTCAGAAGCACGGGAGGGTGAGAGAATTCACCAGAGCCAGAGCGGAGAACAGAACAGGCAGACTGACGAAATACACTGCTGAGGGGAGCAGCGGGCAGCAGGAGAGGTCTGCGCGCCTAACAATTTTCAAGGGTTAAAAATAACCCATGAATTTATCTCTTTCTACTATTGTGATCACAATGTGAGATGCCTTATATGTGAATTGTTTAAGGTATTTATTCATGTAGGATGGTCAAATACTCTGTTCAAAGGGGGTCATTTAGATAAGAGCTGAAGTTATATGATATGTGATTCAGCTTCACAGGCCACTTCACATTCTTTCTGGAATAAGAGAGTTTGTGGAACAAAGCACTAGCATGGGCAGTTCACTGCCAGCTGGGCTCTGGTTGTTCTTTATAAGACACTGGCGATTTACTTGGCCTTTCTAAGCCTCCGTTTCCTCATACGTCAAATGGAGATCATGATGGCATTTACCACCTATGATGACTGTTAGAATTATGCACAAAAGGTGCTTAGCAGGGTGCTGGCACACAGAATACAAACAATGGAGCTACTATTAATAATTCTGAGTCTGCCTATTTTCTAGCTACTTGTCTACAAATAATCTTTTAAAGGAAATAGATGTATCTCTAAAGAAGTTTCACTCATTGGACACTTTTAGAGAATATTGTAGAACTCTGCTGAATACTTAGATAACAACCACCATAACTTTGTAACCTGAAAACATCTGGGCCTTTTCCCTTTCCCCCACTGCTGCTTCTCGTCTGGGCTCCATCTCTGTATCTAAAATTCTAGATTCAAGCCACCATCTCCTTCACCTAGATCACTGACCACTTTTAGACTTGGCTCATTGATTCATGTCTGGCCTATACACCTTGCAGTGTCAACAACACAGTTAGGAGAACCTTTTAAGTATTTAAGTTAGATCATGTCACACATATTTAAGCTACTTCAATTAGGTGCAATTACAAAGAGAATCCAGTGTGACCACTCTAATTATCTCTCCAATGGCTCTCCCCATCACTGACTGTTGTGGCCATATTGCTTTTATGTCTGTTCTTAGAACAAGAAAGCCTGCTTTCTGCCTCAGGGCATTTGCGCATGCTATTCTTTCTGCTTCTAATATTTTTCTTGCATATCTGGTTCTTTCCCTTTATTCACATCTCAGATCAGGTGCCACCTCCTCAGAAAGGTTGTTCTGGCTTTCCTGGCTTCCCTATCCCATTACTGTTTTATATTCTTCATGGCATTATTACTTTCTGAAATGGCTTTACTTAATGTATTTCTAACGTATGCCTCTTTATACTAGAATGTAAATTCCATAAGAATAGGAATCTATGCTGTCTTGTTCCCTAGATGCATTATAGCAAAAAGAACAATGCCTAGTACATACCTGATGAACACAAAAAAATCCCCAAAACAAATAAATGCATAAATGAATAGGAACATCAGCCAGTGTGCCCATGTCCACATGGCAGTAGCATTTTCATGATAAAAATTGTTGCAGAAAAGTCCCTAGAGAGTTATCCCTCACTATTCCCATTCTACTTAGCAGAGTGCAAGAAGACTTTTTAGCAAGATGCATTCATTACTGGATCTGGCTAATTTACAACTACTCTTTGTACTCTTTACAGAGTATTGTCAGAGTTTCAAAGAAGTATAGTGAGTGGACTTCAGAATTCTACACTCACATTTTGAACCAGTTCTTTATGGAGTGCTTTGCAAATTACTGGGCATTTTTAAGGATTGCAAGCCCAATAAGTAAATCTATAAGGAAGACATTATTAGCCCTTATTATGTGCCCTGCACTATACCAACTATTATAGGCAGCTTAAATGTGGTCATAATATTTACCTTGACTTTGAATTATTATTGGGAACTGAAATCTCCATACATATGAAATAATTAAGACACGGAAATGATATAAGAATGAACAAAAGTGAATTGCATATACTTTGGATAATGAATAGAAAAGATGTCCAACAAATAATGTTACCCAGCAAAGCCAGCTACTGCCTATTTTGGATGTATACTCCAAATCTATTGCTTTATGGTAGTATACGTGACACTCATGCAGTGGGTTTATAAAAAAACCCTGACATCTGATAGCCCTGCCCTCCAATCATTCTTTTTCAGAGTTTTGGTCTTTTTTCATGCATTAGGTCAGTACTTCAGGAGTTTAAAAAAAATAAGATGTTACCTTTTTTGGCATACTATGCCAAAACTTTGCAAAGTTTCTCCCATTCAATGGCCCCACTTTTTAGTGAGCACCCAATGTATACTAGGCATTGTGCTATGTGCTTTTTCCTGGATTATCTCAGATTATGATCACAATAAGCCAATGAAAAAGGTATTATGATAACACCCATTTTACAGATGAAGAAACTGAGGCATAGAAAAGTTGGGTAATTTGCTTAAGTGGTGGAGCCAGAATTAAAGCTCTGGAACCTGACTCTGGAGTTCCTGCCTTCTGTCACCATCTATGGGCACCTCTTCCTGCACTTGCTCCAGGTAGCTTGAAATATAAATATATTTACACATAAATCATACATTTATATTGAAATCATACTACAGGTATATACTATATATAGCATGCAAGTTTATACTTATAGTCATATTTACATATTCCTATTTATATGAGTAAATTTTTAATGTATTCATATGAGTAAATTTCCTGTGGGAAATAGTATGATAGAATCAAAACTGCAAGCTAGAATTACTTAAATTACTAGACCCTCACCTACCAAAATTATGTGAATTCATACTATATAATAGGTTATAAAATATAAAATGTAAACAGAGAGTTAAAATAAAACACTCTTCGCATCAGTCCATAGAGACATCACTGGTGAAGTCTCAGAGGGATCTGATCTGATGTGGAGTGTACTTGTTCTGTCTAGTCGCACCCTTTTCCCCACCCAGTTGCCTACGGTCTTGGCAACAGCTGCTTTGGTGGTTTCTCCTGGAACTCAAAAGTTAGGGTCTTGGTGGTACTGAAATGTACTCAACCTCGTGACTCAGCTTAGATTTTCTTTTCCATTTTCAATTTCCTTCAATCATGATTATGTCTCTCAAAGACCCTCAGTGGGAACAATTGCTAACCTCATTAAAAACACATTCTTGTTGGCTTTTTCAAAGCTGCTATTTAACAGCAAAAGGCATGGCTAATTTCTTATTCCTAGATGATATGCACATTTCTCCATTTCCCTGAGAACACGATGGTGGATGTTTTGCTGCTATGCAAAACTCGGGAAGTGTATCTCCACCTAGCCCTGAGATATAAGGCAAGCTTTTCAGGCATCAGAGTTCTTAAAAAAAATAACCACATCTTTCTTGTGGAAAAAGAGTATGATAGGGTCAAAAGTGCAAGCTAGCATTACTTAAATTACTAGATCTTCACCCATCAAAAAGATCACACATTGGTCTTTCCACAGTCAAGAAAAAGAGTTTGCTTTTGGTCCCCACATGTTTAGTATATAAATCCATCTTGATTGTGTTGGCAGGTGAAAGTATTTAATATTTCACAAATTGGAAACTATTTGAACTATGTATTATCTGTGCACAGGACAAATAAAAGGGGGTGGAATGAGGTTGCTAGAGACAGTGACATTTTTAAGGGGACTATTACCTATTTCTGACTCACTGCACTAGAATTTTCCAAGAAAAATCACTCTGAAAAAGCATACATGGTATGTATTCTTATACCTACTGTGCCCTGAATTCAATGAAGACTTCAGATTAATTTAGAAGAAACTTGGAATTTTAGACATCTCTGTTCCCAGGGAGAGTGTGGGGATGACCCACGGGCCTCCTGACAGGACCCGCGTGTGCCCAGGGACCTCACCTTCCTGTAGCTCCTTATCATTTCCATTCAAATGAGGCTGGATTTCTTTTCATAACCTGCCTATGCTGCACCATTTTTCTACTCCAACGTGTAAAATTAAAATCTGATAAAAGGTAATGCTGTACTAGAGATTCTCATTAGCTCCAGGGCTGTCTAAGCTCCATTTAATTAAAAAGGTTGCATCCAGCTGACTCATTCAGTATGAAAATTATCTGGTCCCTCTTGTTTTTTTTCAAACTGTGGAAAAGCGCAATGTGTTTGAGAAGGTGAGTGATGCATGATGCCAATGACCGCCTTATAAGCAAAATTTCGATTCTAGAGAAAAGTGTTCTCTTTGTAAACATACGGAAATGTGCTCTCTTCCTTTTGGGGCCCCCCTGGCAGTACTAGTGAGGTTTCAAGGAAGTGAATTCAAGGAATAGAAAAGGAGGGCACTTGGTTTAAGGAAGAGGAGGGAGGTGAAGTTGGAACCAAATGTTCTCTGGAGAGCCCTTTTTTCAGTTGATTTTGGGCTCCAAGTTCATTTTCTCTTACTAGGTTTCATTTCAAGCGCATCTGTGAGCTTCAACACATAAAGCACAAATCCCCTAGTCAACACTTGTTATTGCATAAATGCAGCAAAATATTCTGATTCTCCTACAGAAGATTTTTGATCAGAATGGTAAAAATAAATCCCTACTCTGGCGAACAAACTACAGAGAATGCTAGCCTTTCATACAACCACTTTTCTCCTAAAACATTTGAGCATCTGCTATTAATTAAAAGCATCTGCTATTAATCCTCACCTTGTAAGTATATATTTTAAAAGTGGGGGTTTTATTATTTGCCTTCATCCAAGTAGTACTCACTTCAAATAGAGCAGAAATTCAATAGGAATAATAGGAAGTCAAATTATTCCCCTTCTCTTCCACACTGAATTTACACCAAAGGCTTGAAAAAAAAAATCAAACAGCTAAAATTCTCTGAAACATTCTTATTATTTCTTTCCTTTATTTGGGAGTCTTACATATATTGCCTATGGCTTATAAAAGGGTATTTGGAAGATGAAGCAGAGTAAACAAAGATAACCTGCTGTTTTGAAAAGAAATGATAAAGGCAAATTAAATTCTGCTTTCTAACTCAGCTGGAGGAAGCAGTCACTGCAAGGAGAAGATAAAGAGATTTGTCCAGAAAGAAGCTCTCACCATGGTCAGGTCCCTTTAGAGCCAGGCGGGTCTGATGATGGGGAAGAATCTCGAGCTTGACCTGGTCAGTGGTGTTGGCCAGGAACTGGGTGGCCTCGGCCAGTGTGCAGTACTCCATGCTGGTCCCGTCGATGGACAAGATGTGGTCGCCCACGTGCAGTGCGCCACATCTGCAGGAAGGAGAAACACTAAATGCAGGAAGTGCCTTCCTCTTTGGAAAATGACACTCATGACCTTCATTGTTAAAAATTCACACACTTTTCATTTACTTAAAAAAAAAATTGAGTGTTACAGGAATCATCATCGTTATGTGTTAAGTACCGTGGCTTTGAACAGGGATGTCAAACCTTGTAGAAAACACAGAAAGAATTCAAGGAAATGTTTTGCTCTTGTCCTTCTAAGAAAAGATTATCTTCAGGTGGTGGTGCAGAAAGTTGAGGGGAAATAAGCAGGCGGGGAGGGATGACAGGAAAATCTTTCTCCTTGACTTTTTTCTGTGATATTTTTTTATCTTTTCTGTGATTTTTTTTACCTCCTAGAGTTTTATGTCTAAATATGGTTTGGTAAATATTCAGAATGTCAAAATGTGTTTCAAAGAAGTAGAATAGGGTTATTTACAACTATTTTATGTGCGAATGAGAATAACTTGGGGGAGATTTAGCTAATGCTTTCTCAGAATCTTCTCACATAACTCCCACATCACTAGTTCTTGATTTATTGTATTCTATTTTGTTATTCTGGAGTTAAACATTTATTAGTACAAAAAGCTCTGGATGATGATGGCAATTATGCAGGAGTCAAACTAGCACTAAAATAAGGCCTGCAGGGTGAGTGAGGAGAGAGTTGGGGTGGGGGGGGCGAGCTGCTACATCTGGCTGAACTCAAGAGACTGGCTACTTGATGAGTTAAGAAAAGCAAACACAGCAGTCAGTATCCCCACGTACCAGTCAAGTGGACAGCTCCTTAAACTGGTTACCCCCTGCGGAATGGGAACAAAACAGAGGGAGAAAATTAAAGCATCCTGCACCATTGAACTGGAGAGTACCCCTGGATCAATGGCAACACTGAGCAAGCACTGAGGTGGGGGTAAGAGCACAGTGGAGCTGTAGACTGGCCACGAGCTGGGCGGCTGCAGGTCACTGCATCAGTGGAGATGCACCACACAGGCCAAGGGCACATGGAGAAGAGTGCTGGCTACATGCAGGGGTCACTAGCCACCCGCTTATATCTTGAAATTTCCTAAGTGAGAATGGTCTACTTCTCAAGAGCGAAGCATTTCAAGTAACTCTTTCCATTTAAAAACTTAACTCCACGTGAATGCACCTCAAGTGATTCAGTTATAGGAAGTGGGGGTTTTCTAGCCAGGAGATGTAAGATAATGCGGTGGGTGACTCTCCCCACCTCCACATCTACCTTTTAAGACTAAAATATTAATTAGGACAAAAGGAAAAAAATTCAGGAAAAAGGACTTTTTTTTTTTTTTTAGAGGCATGTTTTTATTTATTTATTTATTTGTTTGTTTGTTTGTTTTGTTTATACATGCACTGGGTACAGTCAGAAGCGCGGGAGGGTGAGAGAATTCACCAGAGCCAGAGCAGGGAGCAGAGCAGGCAGAAGGACCGAAGTACACTGCTGAGGGGAGCAGCGGGCGGCAGGAGAGGTCTGCGCGCCATGTGGGACCCTCCTGCGGTGGCCGGAGAGCAGCCGGGGATCGAACCGGCGCCGCAGAGGCCGCGGGCAGCTTTGCAACCCAGCGCTCAATCGCTGCGCCACTGGGGTGGCCCAGGACTTTTGTTTTTATGGTGACATAGGAATGAATGATGTTTTCAGGGGCCCTTGAAGAAGACTGTAAAATCTTAAGAGTAGCATTCTATGACAGCACAGAGCCTTTTTTTTTAAAGCCTGCATAATTTAAAGAATGTGATTTTTTTTTAAGTAAGAAGAAAAGAATAAGTTTTATGGTGGCAGGATTTCTTTCTTTCTTTCTTTTTTTTTTTTTTTTTTTAAAGATTTATCTACACAAGCACTGGGCACAGTCAGAAGCATGGGAGGGCTAGAGAATTCACCAGAGCCAGAGTGGGGAGCAAACAGGCAGACTGATGAAACACATTGCTGAGGGGAGCAGCAGGTGCGGCAGGAGAGGTCTGTGTGCCATGTGGGACCCTCGCCGGTGGCCGGGGATTGAACCGGTGCTGCAGAGGCTGCAGGCAGCCTCACAGCCCAGCACTCAACCGCTGTGCCACCAGGGGAGGCCCAGGATTTCTTTATCAATTCAGGACAACCCATGATGTCTCTTCATGATCTGCCCAGCTACCCTACAGTAAGAGTGGTCTATTACCCTGAGGGAGGTAGGAAACTTGTGCAGGTGCTTGTTCCCTCCAACAATAAAGGCTACAATGTCTGGATGAGGTGCATTACATGATTGGGAGCTTATAAGATAGGTGAGTTTGTAAGCCCTGAATAGAAACTTGTTTCCATATATAATACTTGTATAAACTAGAAGGGAGCTGTTTTGAGTGTGTGTGCATGTATGTGTGTACATTTGTATACGTGTATGTGTTATGCGTATATATAATACTTTTTATCACATGCAGTTTTAAAGAGGAGGCACTTTTTACAGCACTCACCTGTCTGCAATACTTGCAGATTTGATTTTGTCTATGACAATGACCTGTTTGTTACAGCACATCGAGGTAGTTAGGGCAACCCCAAGGCTGGCACCAGGAGTTTTGGCAACTTCAACTAGTAATGGTCCGGATGCTGTTGCCACAGAATCTATGGAAGAACAAATTTCAGAAAACAAAATAAAATTAAAGAAATAAGCAAACAGACACCTGAAAATGGAAAATGTTCAGTCTGATTTGGTCTGTTAATTTTATTACTGAAACTTAGTTTCCCTCCATAAACATCCCCACATTCTTGGGCACATCTTAGGACACCTGATCTACCCAGCTTGTGTTATAATAACACATGCATAGATTTATCTTTTCAATTAAATTTTAAGTTTCACATCACTAGGGATAGTATCTTGGGTATCTTTATGCCCTCTAAATAACTTGGCACGGTGCCTGGCGCATATTATGCTTCTTAAGAAATGTTTTTAAAATAAACCAATTCAATAAATATCTTATTACCTACTATGGATGGATGGATGGATGGATGGATGGATGGATGGTTGGATGGTTGGAAGAAAGGAAGGAAAAGACAGAGGATGGATAAATAGGTGATGTCTCTAAATAGTCAAATAATAGGAATTTATAATCAAAGTTGAATTTGTAAATCCTGGTCTTTCCTTACTGGACCTGATCAAGGGTCACCTTCCTCTCAAGAGTGACTTTATATAGGATTTATTTTTTGACTGGAGTATTCTTCACTATGACACTGGGGCTCAATGTAAACACCAAACTGTGGGAAGTTTTCCTGACCCTTGGTTTGCTAGAATGCCTTTTTCATGTACCCCATCAGCCTGCTATAGTGCTTGCTGTAGTAGCAGACACCTCACTGTTTCATAGTGTCCAGTGTGGATTACACACATCTGTCCTATGCTAGACTGTACACAGGCTAAGAAAGCTGAGACTATGTCTTGTCAATCACAGTTTTCTTAGTGTCTGGCATGACAGCCACAAAGGAAGTGTGCAGTAGCAGTTCTTGAGTGAATGTCTGAACAAATGAGAAAACGGATGAGATCACATTAAGCACAAAAGAGGCAGGGAAAGAGGCCTGAACAGGGAGACAACTTGCATTTAATATTTCTTTTTCTTTTCTTTTCATTTTTCTATTATTTATTTGTTACATCATTGTTCATTTTTAAGCTATTTGCTTCCCACCACACCTCAGGTGTAGTCCCCATAGAATTTCCTTCACCAATGCACCTGTGCACCATCACCTCAGTCCCCTGTGCTCCTCCCTCCCTCCCTCTGATCCCTCTCCCTCCTCCTCCCCTGCAGGATGTCTCTGGTTTATAATTGTCCATTTTTGCTTTGTTGTGTTTTGTACTGTTACTATTTTTTTACACTGATGTCTTATTTGGTTCCCCTATATACCTGCTATAAATGAAATCATCCAATATTTTTCTGTTTCCTTCTGGCTTATTTCACTGAGCATAATTCCTTCTAGCTCCAGCCATGTTGCTGTGAATGGCATGAGTTTATCTTTTTTGATTGTTGAGTAACATTCCATTGTGCATTTAATATTTCTTTTCACAATATTTTGTCATTTCTTAGAAAAATTATTGCCTCTAACTTGTTTTTAATTCTACTTGTTCAAATCTATAAAATGTTTTCCTTTACTCCATTTTTATTACAATTAATGTATTGTATTAAATATATTATTATTTAATATATTAATATAGCAATATATTAAATCAATGTATAGCTAAAGCATTTTATAATTTATAAAGTGCTAAATATGTAGACTGTCATTATCATTTTCATCATCATCGTTATTATTGATATATTATGACGTTAAGCCTTTAAGCCAGCTCATTTTTCAAGACTGTTATTGTTCTGTAACATTGTTCTGAAATTTCTACAGCTCTGGTGTTTGAGGCTTCATTAATACAACTTTGCCTTTCTATAAGCATATCTTTATCACCAAGGCACCACTCAGATATAGTGAAGGAGGAAATCTATATTCCTACTGCTGAAGCTCCAGCAGTATGCACTGACTCATGAAGCTGAGAAAAAGCCATCTTCAGTGTAAGATGAATAAGATATTTCTTAAATAAAGATGAGAACATTCATGCCAACAATATTCATACCCCAGTGCTAAAGTGTCTTATATGTACTGTTTCTTAAACAATTAATGATATTGAAATAATTTAGTTCTAAAAAGAGTTAAAAGGTCAATTCTTAGAGCACAGTCTTGTCAATTTCAAGACAGAGTCTCACTGATCAAAGCTAGGAGGAGCCAAAGGTCTTAGTGTACTAAGAGAACTTTAAAAAAAAAGATTTATTTATGCATAGAAGAACTGGGGTACCAGCCAGAGGTGTGTGGGGTGACAGGATTCACCAGAGACAGAGTGGGGAACAGAACAGGAGGATTGACTGAAATACATTGCTGAGGTGAGCGGCGGGCGAGTCAGGAGAGTTCTGCTGTGCCATGTGGGTCACCTCCCTGGCCATGTGGGTTGCTCCCTGGCCGGCCGGGGGTTCGAATTCGTGCTGCAGAGGCTGCGGACTGCTTCATAGGTTGTGTCTTAACCCCTTGAGCCACCAGGGAGGCCCTACTAAGAGGACTTTTGGTTCTGGGTTGTATGGCTATAATTTCTCCACAATCAAACAGCACTTTCTGGTATGGTGGCTGCCATTTTTGGGTGCCCCTCACCTTGCTGTGCTAATTCCCCTGATCTAGGGCCACTCACAACATACTGGCTTCTTTTCCTGTCCTCCCATTTCCTGCTTTCTCTCCAGTGCCTCGCTGGCCATGGTGCTGTCCAAGGTCCTGCCTTCCTCTCTGTATTGCGTGATTCTCTGAGTTATCTGCAACCTGCCTCAATTAGAATTTCTGGTAAAGAATTCTGGTCTACATCCCCTGCTCATGCATTGGACGAATTAACATTATCAAAATGGCCATTCTACCAAGGGTAATTTACAAATTCAATGCTATTCCAATAAAAGTTTCAATGACATTCTTCAAAGAAATAGAACAAATATTGATGTTACTTAGCAATCACACAAGATAAACTCATGCCATTTGCAGCAACATGGATGGAGCTGGAAGGGATCATGCTCAGTGAAATAAGCCAGAAAAAAAAGAAAAAATACTGGATGGTTTCACTTATAGGAGGAATGTAGAGGATCCAAATAAGGGATCAGGAAAAAAGAAATTATTATAAGAAAGTGAAAATCAGAATCTACAAGCAACTATAAACCAGAGACATTCTGCAGAGGGGTGGGGAGAAGAGAGTAAGATCAAAACAGGGGAGAGAAGAGCACAAAGGACTATGGATGGTTCACAGGTGAATGGGTGGTGGGAATTTCACGGGACTATAACTGAGAAGAGAAAGCATACATTGTGGAAAAAAATGAAGAACAATATAAAAAATATATAAAAAATAAATAAAGTTATTTTAAAAAAAGAATTCTGGTCTGTCTCTGCAGTCTGTTTTAGTTGTCTTTCCATTAAAAAGGTAGCTGATTCTGTCCACCTTTCAACTCCAACACCTCTCTGCTGCTAAGTCAAGTACTCATAAGTCTACTTTTCTCCTCTTCCTTAAGCATGTTCCCTAGCAGGTCAAAACTCACGTGAGCTCTGATCTAGCAGAGACTTCTTTCACATTATCTTTATAGAACTTTAGAGAAAGACTAATTTTAGATTTTTCCAAATCACTTGTCATATATTCATTGGGTTTTAATATATTTCATAGACTCACTGGACTTTAATAAATTTAGTAAATAAATAAAACTGAATTAAAATAAATTTAATACTAAATTGAGTGACAAATACATGTATTTGTCACATGGTCTTCTTATGTCTAAAGATAAATTTATTTGGCATAACAGGTGGAAATAATGAAGCTTCTCTGTTATTTCTGACATAATAATTGCTTACAAGTAACAGAAAGTATTAGTTATATCCCATTGTCCCTTCTTTCTTCAGTAATAAGCTTCCTAACTAAATTTTAGTTGAGAAAATGGCTGCCCAGGTAAGGACATTTCCCAGCCTCCTCTGCAGTGAGGTGCAGTCATGAGACTAAGTTCCAACCAATGATAAATGAGACATAATGAATTTTTCAAAAAGATTTATTTTTTATTTATACAATAGCTGGGGTACAGGCCAGAGGCGTTGGAGGGTGTGAGAATTCACCAGAGACAGAACGGGGAGCAGAACAGGCAAACGACCAAAATACACTGCTGAGGGGAGCAGCAGGCACGACAGGAGAAGTCTGCCACACCATGTGGGAATCTCCCTGGCTGGCCAGGAATCAAACCCATGCCCCAGAGGCTGCGGACAGCTTCACAACGCTGCGCTCAACCCACTGTGCCACTGGGGAGGCCCAGTAATGCAATTTTGGACGTGCTCTTAAATAGAATAGTGATGTCCTCTTCTATCTCATGTCTTCCTTCTTGCTGTTGAAATGTGTGCCCAGAACTGGTGAGCTATCTTCAACCATGCAGACAAGAGCACTGAGTCACAGATAAAGGAAGGTTAGCTTCCGGGAACCAAATCTTTAGCAATTGCTTAGTCTCTCAAGAAATAAACTTGTTATATTTAAGCCAATAGAGAGTATACCCAGAGTTGCTTAGTACACCTCTGGAATGGAAACTAGAGTTTGGGTCTTCCTTAGCAGCTGAGTTTATATCCCAGAAGGCCTTTCCACTTGAGTTTATTTCCCCAACGTGTCTTTCTTGAACTCTCTTTTTAAGAAGCAGCCATTTATAACTAGGTATTTGCAGATGTAAATTTTATGAAATTACAATCAAACACTTACCAGTACTCATGTTAAAAGCATTACATCACGAACATGGCGGCGAGGAGACGCTGCGAGTAAGATCTCCCATTAAAAAAAAAAGTTAATAGGGAGGAAAAGCGGCAGGTCCCAGTGAGAACGGGGACACGGAAGATAAACGGGTGACTCCAGCGAACTACCCGAAGAAGAAAGTGGCCATAAAAGAGGACTAGAAGGGAGGGAAGCGCAGAACCCTGCTCCCCTCCCCCGCCCACAGAGGCGGCACTCTCCGACTGGCAGAGAGGAGGGAAACAACAAACCAAAACAACAAACAAGAACAAACTACGCAGCAAGCGGGACTGTGCGTGGAAAGGAACTATGGCAG